CAGAATTCTCTGTCTTTATGCATTTCTAATTATTAGGAGTAAAATGAAATAACCTTTGTATCACTCACAATGCCTAACAGAGTGTCTGACACATAGTAGGTGTGAAACAAATATCTGGGGATAAATATATGAGCTAATGTTTCAGAATTTAAAGTCAATCTAGATGATTCAGGACCCAAAGGGTTTCCCAGACTTAAAGGGAGAAATGATTATTTTTTTTTCATTTCTTCTTTTTTGTTTTGAAAAAACAACTGGTCCTTTTCTCAATTTCATGCGGATTTAGAGGCACAGCCAATTAAGGTGTCTGGTGACCACTCTGGCCATAGGCATGAGTCCATGCCCAGGCTGAGTTATTCACAGATGCCCTTATTTCTGGCACAGTGACTTTTTCTCAGATAGGTGTATGATCTGTTTAGGATTCAGCCATCCTTCCTGAGATTTCTCCATGGAAAAGAAGGGAGAGAAAAAATGAAAGAGAGAGAGAGAGAGATTGATTATTATTTAATTGGGGTTGACAATCTGGTATAATATTAAACTGAAATTATCACCAGCTTTGTCTTTATCATACACAAATGACTTGTCTGTAGCTATAGAGAATAAGGTAAACTCTCAGGAAGAAAAGAAGAGTGAGACTTCCATTGAATCCTCTGGATCTGGCTGTGACTGAAACCAGATCTACCCATGGACTTCCCAATTACATGAGCCAATGAATTGCTTTTCATTTTTGCCTAAGCTAATTGTAAGTTAGATTGCTCTCGTTTGCAACAGAGTCTCAATTAATACAAACAATTGGTTTTATTTCTTACTGTCTTTGCTTGAAAGTTCTCATTGAAAGTCATACAAACATAAAGTTAGTTATTTTCTCTATGTAGACAAGTAGCAGAATCTTATTCTATGTTTTCTTGCTCCATGGATTTTTAGTGAAACAAACAGAAGGATCTGAATCTAATTTTCAAAGGAAGCCATAATTATACAATTAGTGATGCAAATATTTGTCTTATAGGTTACCTGAATAGGCTTTCATTGTCCTGGGATAAGACATCAATAGGTATTAATAAATACCATGTGTGTATATTGTACTGCAGCAGATTCAGAAGACAGTCTCTTCCCTTAAGGAGCTCACAATCTAGCAGAGGAGATAAAGCATATGCACACAAACAAACAAACAAACAAACAAAAACCGGAACAGTACAACTATTCAATCAATAATTCATGCTGGACTTAGAAGGGTGTTTAGAATTCTATAAGGGAAGGGAAGGAGAGGTGTGGAAAAGGGATGAAGAATTTCAGTGGTGATGTGGAATAAATAAAAGCAGAGATGGAAAAGTAAAATGCTTACTTAGAGGCCAGTGATTCATCCATTTGGCTTGGGAAGGGATACCTGCAGAGGAGCAATAGATCCCAAGACTGAACAGTTAGACCGTGGTCAGATTTTTAAAAGCTCGGAATGTCAGGCTAAGGAGTTAGATTTCAGGTTTAAAGGAAGAAGAGTGGCTACAGGTATTTGGGTGGAGTGGGAGCTGCAATGTGACCAAGCTCTCTTGTCTTAGGTGTTTCAGGATATAGGGCTATAGTGATCTGCCCTAGGAACTCTTAAGGCAGAAGCTAAAGCAGGGAGTCATGCCGGGAGCTGTTGAGACACCTAAGGCATGAAGCGATGAGAGCTCAAATGTGGTCAGGCCAAAGAGAAGGGCAGGGTGAAGACACATGAGAGAGGAAACAAATTTGGAAGAATGGACAGAAGCCAAGTCTAGACTGGAGGAGGAAGATGAGGCAATGGATTTTGAGCTGGGATGAAAGGTTGAATTTTGTGGGGCAGAATTAGGAAATTTAGGAATTTTACTGTTTGAACACTGCTGTAATTTTATATTTATTTATGTTATCATTTGAATAATGTTCTTCTCTTATTATGGACTATACACTCCTTTAATTTGTGGACTATTCCACTATTTGCTATAGTTTTATATCCAACATTTAGCATGGTACCTGAAATATAACAGTGGCTCAATAAATACTTGCTGAATGAATGAATGTTTAGTATGGTATGTAAACTAGCATTCAGTATACACATTAAATTATTAATATATTTATTTGAGCTGAAATTGATATAGTAGTTTGAATCATATTGAAATGTTAAAGCAACTCTGTAAGAAAAGTTATAGAACCAATATTTCCCCAGTTTTATTGAGGTATGATTGACAAAAATTATATTTATTAGGGTATATATTGTGATGTTTTGGTATATGCATACACTAAAAAATGATGACCACAATCACCCCATGTAACATATCCATTACTGTACACTGTTATCATTTTCTTTCTGTGGCAAGAACTTCTGAGTGTACTCTCTTAGCAAATTTCAAGTTTACAGTACATTATTAACTATACTAATTGTGTTATACGGTAGATCCCTGGTACTTATTCATCTTACTGCTAAAAGTTGGCATCCTTTGACCAATATCTCCCCTTTTCCCCTCCTCCAAACTCTCTGGTAACCATCATTCACTTTTTGTTACTGTGAGTTTGACTTTTAAGATTCCACATGTAAATGAGAACATGCAGTATTTGTCTTTCTGTGTCTAGCTTATCTCACCTAGCATAACGCCCTCAAGGTTCATCCCCATTGTTGCAAATGACATTCTATAAAATTATACTTTTTAGGCTGAATAATATTCCATTGTATATATGTACCACATTTTCTTTATTCAAATGTTGACAGACACTAAGGTTGCTTTCATTATTCACTGTTGCAAATAATGCTGCAACGAATATGGGGGGGTGCAGATATCTCTAAGATATTGATTTCATTTCCTTTGGATATATACTCAGAAGTAGGATTGCTGGATGATAGGGTAGTTCTGTTTTTAATTTTTAAGGGAAACCCCCTTACTGTTTTCCATAATGGTAGTTTTCCATAATATTCATACCAATTTACCATCTCCACAGACATCACACAAGTGTTCCTATTTCTCTACATCCTTGCCAACACACTTTTTTCTTTTGACTTTTTGATAACAGCCACCCTAACAAGTGTGAGATAATATCTCATTATGGTTTTGATTTGCATTTCCCTGATGATGAGTGATGTCAAGCTTCTTTTCATGCACTTGTCGGTCATTTGTATGTCTTTGGAGAAATGTCAATTCAGTTACTTTGCCCATTTTTGAAGTGGGTTATTTGACTTTTGGCTATTAAATTATATGAGTTCCTTATATTTCTGGATAGGAGCCTTGTACGAGCTGTAGGGTTTGCAGATATTTTCTCCCATTCTGTAGGTTACCATTTTCTTCTGATGATTGTTTGCTATGCAGAAACTTGTTTATTTTTGCTTTTATAGCCTGTGCTTTTGGTGTCAAATCCAAATAATCATTGCTGAGACCAATGCGAAGGAGAATTTACCCTGTGTTTGTCTTCTAGGAATTTTACAGTTTCACATCTTATGTTTAGGTCTTTAAATCATTTTGTGTTGTTTTTTGTGTATGGTGTAAGAATAATGGGTCTAATTTCATTATTTTGTATGTGGATATCCAGTGAGGTAAACATCATTTACTGAAGAGTTTATCATTTCCCTATTGTACATTGTCATTTGTAACCAATAAAGAAGGAAATGTTTTCAGGTAAATATTTTCTGAATTGCTAAATGTTACACCAACAGCAAAGTTAGTCATCAAAAGTGCTCATTAAGTCAGCCACAGGATTATCATCTGCTTTCTGCTTCAATGAATTCTACATAAAGGAATTCTTGCTCAGTGGAATGATGATGCAATTTTCAATTCTGGTCACAATGAGCAACAGGGAATTCTTTTTAATTTCTGTTTAAACATCATAAACATTTGGAGTTAGCCCTGACTTAAAATACCAGCTGTGTTCTGAACTAGCTGTGTGACTTCGGGCAAGTCACTTTATCCCTCTGAGCTTCAGTTTTCTTGTCACTTTATCCCTCTGAGCTTCAGTTTTCCTACCTGCAAAACGGGAATAACAGTACCCACCTTCCTGCTTGTATTGTTGTGAGGATTACAGGGGATAATCTATATGAAGTCTTCCGCATGGTGTCTGGCTCATGGCAGATACTGAGTAAATATTTTTCAATTGTTGTTTGTACTTTTATTGCTATCATTATTAACTCAACATGTGTGTTTTTCATAGAAGGGATTATGTCTTAGGCATCTTATACCTAATGTCCAACATGCTGTTGTAACCCTAACACCTAGCTCAAGCGTGTTCACAGAATTGAGCTAATACTAAGATCCTCCTCTTGAGAAGGATGAGAAAAACAAAGGAGCTGTTTAATAAAGAAGTTCAGCCTTTGTAATTATTCAGCCATGTGCTTCTAATTCAGGTTAAAAAAAATTTGAAGGCCAAAGAATCTTTTTAAACATGTCTTCCACAGGAAGGTAGATTTAACTATTTAAATGGAGTCACTGACAAACATGTTCTAGTAAAATAATAATGAACTTGTGCAATCAAAAGGTGATCTTTACTATTGCTTTGTTAAAAATAGTCTTCTCATCTAAAGCTGCTTTTATATGTGCAACTTTGTGAGATCTTTTTATAATTCTTGTAATGGAAAAGCTAGAATGACATGTTATTAGGATTTTATCATAATATATAAGGTATAACATTACCCTGACTTATGGAATGACTAAATACGTGGAATAATTAGCTATGTTATAGTGAGATTCTCTTCTTTGTGGATTATGTGAATGCTTTAGAAGGTCAGTAGCATTACTATTTCTATTGGAGAACTTTCATTTTTAAATATATTATAAAAATGACTTTCAATAATGACATAAAATGTAAAACTTTTTTATTACAGGAATTATAAAACATTTTTGCACCAACTATTGTTGTAATTTAGGCTGAAATAATGCCAGTTATTTTGCTACTCTGCTGAAGTCCCCTTTTTTGAGCCTACACTGAACCTGTAATACTTATGGAAAGTGTTACCATAGCAACCTATATTGATGTCACAAGCTCAGGCTTCTGACTTCATTGCATAATGCAGTAGCAACTGGATTTGCAGCAGAAACATTCTGCTACAGAACAAGTGTCTTGGTTCACAGCAAAGAGGACAAAGAAAACAGCAAGTTTTAGGGGGTTGAATCCTGGATTGTGAGTCAGATTGCCTGAGTTCTTATTTTAACCCTGCCTCTCACTTGTTGCCTTGTTTTGAGTAATTGTGTTTACATGTGTGCACTGAGGTTTGAAGCAAGAAAGCTTCCATCTCTAGGATGGACAGAGCAGAGAAAAATTCAGGATATCTAATGTTTTGCATTTGGTAGAGAGCTCAGTAAAGCTAAAACACCCTAAAAATAACTTGACAGGAAAGGAATTACTAATGCTTTGTAGTAGGTATCTAGCTAGCTCACAAAGATAAAAAGGACACTTTGAAATGAAAAAGCATCTGGCTGGATTTTTTATTTTTACTTTTTTGAAATAGTAATGGGTAAGGGACAAGATTAATGTCCTAATCTTAATTTTAGTAAGAATATAGAGAACTTGTACATAAATATGTCACTATACCTATGTAACTATATTAACATAAAGATCTATTTAATGGGTATGCTGCTTCTCATGTTTATACTGTATACATTAAAAAATAAATGTGTTCTAACTGTGTCATATAAATGTTGATTCTCATTAGTAAACAACTGAATACGTGAAATGGCCTTGCTAATTTAAGATGACATTTTAAACAAATCCTGATGATACATTTCTTAAAAAGACCTTGGCATTGGAGCCTGTAACCTGTTCATTATTTCCATTGGTCTGGCTTCTTGTTAAAGACTGCATTTTAGAATTGAGATGCGAATATTTTGGGATTTGAAAAGGCACTTAAACAAATCAATTTCCACACCAGAAACTAAGGTGAAAACATGATATGTCTTTTTATTTTTATTTTCTCTAAAGTAATAAGGCTAGACATTTTGATAAGGAGAACTATGACCCTTTATAACTTTCTATTCATATGCTTCAGTCATTCCAAATTATCAGCCAAAATATCACATGCTATAAACATCATTAGCTCAATTCCACGTTGAATAACCCCCATGAAGACACAATTTGTTAAGTCTTAGGAAATTTTTAAGTTACTGTTGAAAATGTAGAGTGAGGTAGAAGTTGGGGGCATATTTTTGAATAAGCACTTAAATGCAATTAAACTCCACATTATAAAAGCACAAGCATTTGCATGAAGTGCAAAAGCATCTTTTAAAAGCCAGAATTTAGTGTACAGTGTTTTGTAGAATATATAAGAATGCAAATTAATTCTTTCATTGTAGGCATCATGCCTCTCAAATTAGCTAATGTAACCTTTCTTTTATACTAACAAAAACTTGTGTGTTTGTGTGAATTTAATTAAACAGATTTTTATTCACTTTATTGACATGAAAAGGTCCTAAATGTACATAGTAAAGTTTTGTAAAAGAACAGGTTGGACCCCATTTTTTAATTTTCATCTTAAGCAAGACAGCAATATTGGTAATTTTCTGGACTCTATGTAGTCCATGTGCTAAATTCCACCATTTTCTATATACAACTTCTGCGAATAGCAGAGACTAAGCACCCACTGCAAAATCATGAATATCAAGGAATCATACATATAGAAGGAGCTTTAGTTTCCAAACTGAGATCTGATAGATTTAAGTAACTTTCCAAAACTTAATTGGTAGAAGAATCCATACCTCAGCCAAGTACTTGTTCTGTCACATTAGACTGTCTGGATCCTTCTGGACAGCTTCTATCCAGAATCACCTCCTTGAATAATCTTGAAATTTCTATACTGTCCATTTCTTGAGATCTGTTCTTTTAGCTAAGTTTGTAACTATAAACTAAATTTGGCTATTGATAGTTATTCAGTTAAATTTATTCAACATTTTGAAGTGTCTATGTGTGCAGAGTTTTATAGTATATAAAAACAGCATGAGAGTATTTATAAAACTCTGGTGGGGTGATATTACTTTGAAAAGTAAATCAACAGAAAACAAAATCAGATGCACAGTAATGCTGTCAAAATCATATACACAAGAGTTAAGGGAATTCCAGGAAAGGGAATAATCAGAGGCAATGAGACCATGGACTTAGCCAAAGAACATTTCTTAGTGGTGTAATATTTCTTACATTTTAAACCTTCTTCTGTCCTGTCTCTCTATTGCTCCCCCTCTCACCCTCACTGGTGTTTTTTTTTTTTTTTTTCATCATACAAGTAATCCGTGTTTATTGTTGAAACATTAGGTAGAGGAGTTGAGCAAAAATAAAAGGATAATTCTGTGATCAAGAGATTATCTACAGCATCTTCTGCATGTGTTTCCTCAATGTTTTAATCTTACCTGTAGGCTCAAACACTTTTTTTTAAAAAAATGGGAGCATATTCCGCATATTACTTTGTAACTTTTTCTTCTTATATAATGATATTGTGTAACAATCTTTCTGTGATTATAATTAGAGATTTATCTGAATTTCAGTTACAGAAAATTCTATATATGGCTGTACCATAATTCATTTAATCATTTTGCTCTTTTTAGACTAGTCAATTCCCAGTTTCTTGCTGACATAATTTATATATAAATTAAAACCTATATGTGGCCAGGCACAGTGGCTGTAATCCCGGCACTTTGGGAGGCCGAGACGGATCACTTGAGGCCAGGAGTTTGAGACCAGCCTGGCCAACCAGTCTCTACTAAAAAAACAAAAAATTAGTTGGGTGTGGTGACATGCACCTGTAGTCTCAGCTACTCTGGAGGCTGAAGCAGGAGAATCATTCGAATTTGGGAGGCAGAGATTGTAGTGAGCCAGGATCATACCACTGCACTCCAGCCTGGGTGACAGAGCAAGACTCCATCTCAAGAAAAACAAACAAACAAAAAACCCCACCTTTATACGACCTTGAACACTTGTTCAATTTTTTATTTAATTGAAAATAATTTTGTCCAAATTTTTTCATATATAATTGACATACACTCAGATGTTTTCTGATTGTAAAACCCTAGAAGGGGAATAGCTGAGTCAAAGGATATAAGTTATTTTAAGAATTTTGATACATGTTGAAAAATTGATTCCTAGAAATACATCAATTGATAATGTCACAAGAATGAGATGTAGTTCCCTGCTCCCGTGCTACTAGTGGATATTAGTATAATTTTTAATCATGGCAAAGTGCTGGAGAAAATATAGTACTTTAATAAAATTTGTGGTGTTTTTGTGAGATCTTCTGATGTGGAACAGCTTTTCCTATTTGAATTTAATTCAATTAAAATTCAAATTTCTTATTTTAATTGACTATGTATATCCTCTGGTTACCTATTGGGTATTGGTCTTTTTTTAATTTGGAAGGGTTACTTTTATAGTAAAGTTATATAATTGATTGCCACATACCATGCTAATTAGTGTTCTAGTTGGCCATTTTTCTTTTAACTATGGCTTTCATTTATTTGTTCCATGTTATTTCATATTTTTTACATACGCAATGTATTAGTGTTCTCTTTTATGGTTTCCTCTTTTGGCGTCAGCCTCCAAAAGATCATATAAATATTGGCTATTTTTTTTCACAGCATTGATTTTCTTTTCATTTATTTCTTCTAGAAATTATTTTGACTTAAGAAGTGAGATATATTCAAATATTTATTTGAATATTTTTCCCAGTGTTTTTCCCCACCCTTCTGAAATCCAAAGTTTATATGTAATTTTAAAAATTCTGTTGCGTAATCTAATGTCAGTATCACAATTTTATTTAATTATTGTCTAATAATTAAATAATTGCTTACTTGCTTAAATAAAACAATCATTTTATTGTTTAAAGCTTTTTGTATCATACTTATAATAATGTTGTAAAAATAATTATAAAACCTATGCTTTCTCCAATGGGTGTACAAAAAGGGGATATTGCACTAGACTCTTTCCTTTCATTTGCTATTTTAATCCAAGACTCACAATTTTATCTTTGTTGTATCTAGTTGAAATTAATTAATTTTAACTGCTACATTATATTTTTTATTAACTATATAATAATATGTTACCTTATCTTTTCAGGAGGCGTTTGATTCGTTTATTTGTATTCAGTACTTTACACGAATCTAGTAAGATGATTTTATGGTTTTTATTCTTAAACTGTTAGTGAAGTGAATTACACTGGTAGATTTTTCTAATGATAAACAACTTGCAGTTTTGGCATCAACTCAACATAGTATCATTTTATAGACTATGGGGATTCAACTTAGTGATATTTTTATTTAGGATTTTCACATCTGTGGTGTCCAAAGAGATTTTCCTTTCTCATACTATCCCTAGTTTTGATTTGAGAATCATACTTGCCTTAAAGGATGAGATGGGAGATGAGATTAGAGCATTCCTTTTTTCTCTTTTTCCCTGGAAAGGAAATTTTGTCTGTTCCTGTATTTATGGTAGAATTTTTTGTAAAGCTGTTGGATTTTGCAGTTGTTCTTGTTGTTTTTATTGTTTGTTTTAGAGAAGTGTGACTCCTTGAATTACGGTGGAATTGCCTGTAAAGCTATGTGAACTTTCGTTGTTCTTATTCTTGTTTGTTTGGGGGAGGGATGGAAGAATACGTAATTTACTGGTTTCAGTTCCTTAGTGGCTATATAAATCCATGTATATATAATTTTGTTTGGAAAATTTCTACTTAGTTTTGTTTGGTAAATTGTATTGTTTCTAGAAATTTGTTTTATTTTTAAGTATTTATTAGTTTTATCTTTTGAATGTCTGAAATATAGTCCTTTTTAATGTTTTATTTGTGTCTTCTCTCTTTTGTCAGTATCACTAAAGAAATTTTTTCAGCCTTTTCAAAAAGTAAAATTTTAGCTTCCCTTACACCTCTTGTTATCGTTTGCTGTCTAATAAAGTAGGCAAAAGCTGAGTAGCTTAAAATAATCATGATTTTATTACAGTTCATGATTTTGTGGGTCAGAAATTCAGATAGCGTTTGCCTGGGTCATTCTTTTGCTCCATGTGATATTAACTGGGTTCATCTCGTGGTATTTGCCGGTGGCTAGTCTGATCTGGAGAGCCTAAAATAGCTCTGCTCACATGCTTGGTGCCTTGGTAAGAACAGCTGGAGGGCTGAACTCACCTCGGTGTTTTCTTCTACCCATGCAGCA